GGCTGTAAGACTTGAATAGGCTAAAGTGACTCCATGCTAATAGACCAGACTGTGCTTCTTCATATGCTAATTGCTACCTTGGTTAACAGCCTGCCCAGGGGCAAATGGTTTGACAAAAGGTGACCCTAGAACATTTCCTGCATAAGATAAGCAATGCGTTTGCAGTCTTGTTCTGTGAATTCCCTGACTCTTTGTTTAGAAAAACCTTATAAAAAGTACCTCAGCCCCTGAGCAGTTGCCTCTCTGAGCCACCTGGCTCCGGGAGTGCCGTCTGGCCAGACTAATAAAGGTCTTTTACCATCTAGCCTGGTGTGTTCCTTCCTGGGTTTCTCGGTTCTCTGTCGTGTTCCCGGAGCCTCGCTGGGTGTTAGGGCCCAGCATCGTGGAGGCCTTTTGGCTGTTCACGCTCCGTGGAGTGGAAGTGAGACTTTAGGTCTTACAAGGCCTAACTAAAAAACTACTGCTGCTACTGCTGCAACTGGACACACATCCAATTTCCCAAAAGCTATGCTAGACACACAGCAAAGGTGGAAGAATGATTTTTGTTTTGTTTTTTCTTTTCCCATGGACAATTTGAAAAGTGCTGATTTACACTAAGTTAGAAGGGGCTGATGAGAACAACCAAACTGCTGTATTCTGAATTCATACTATACCCTAGCCACTCAGGGACCCTAAGTGCTTTGGTAGCGTTTTATGACAAATTATTGTTCTCCTATTGCACTTCCCATAATTCACCCACACCCTGCGCCCTGCTTGCTGGCTTCCAAAGGCCTTCCCTCCTCCAGCTATCAGGATTCCTCCTGCAGGTTTCTTCCCATTATCCCAGGAATCATCTCCCTGCCGCCTTCACAACACAAACACATCTGAAAACTGCTCTTCCCTCAGATCTTAGGTCAAACATCACTTTTTCAGAGAAGGATCCCCTGAGGCTCTAGTTCAAGTTCCTCATTCCTTTCCCTGAGAGCATTTATCTCAGTTTGTAATTCATTGGTATGACTTTCTGATGAATATCTATAGTCTTCTCTACATGCTGAATTCCCTTAGAAAAAACCGTGTTTCCTCCTCAGCAAACACCAGGTGTCAAGCACACACATCTATGCAATAAGCGAGTCAAGGACAACCAGCCTGCTTTGCTCATTTTTTATATTCTCCACACATTTTTTGGCACAAAGAAGCCTATTGTGACCAGGCATGGTGGTGCAGGCTTGTGATCCCAACACTTGGGAGGCTGAGGCAGGACAACTGGCAAGAGTTTCAGACCAGCCTTAGCCACAGAGCAAGACCCTGGCTCCAAAACAAAAAAGGCCTACCTCAAATAAGGAGCATGTATGTGAATGTGTGTATCTCCCATTCATCTTTAAAAGTTTGCTAAAAAAAGATTTTTAGCCCTTTTTTATGAAGATACAAATAACTGTTACTCATAAAAACCTGACTCTAACCAGGGTCCTATTTTCAAGCTCCATCTTCTTTAAAAGAGTTAATCAGAAGCCATCACTGATTTATTCAAGCAAAGTGTTCCCTATTTATCTGGCATTTAAGAGATAGGCAAACAGGAAGCCAGGCGTGGTGGGTCAGGCCTGTAATCTCAGCACTTGGAGGCTGAGAAAGTTTGACGCCAGCCTGAGCTACATAAGGAGTTAAGGGCCAGCCTGACCTAAAAAATGAGACCCCATCTCAAAAAAAGGGGGCAAACAGCAGCAGGTAAACTAGACAGCTTCCTGAACTTTGTACATACACACTGAGTAATGTAAGCACAATATAAAACTTTGAAAGCATTTGTATAATAGTTTTGTCTTCAAAGCTTCTTAAAATACAAAAGGACCACCTAAATTTGCTACAAAGAGAATTAATCCTCATCCAGAAATTCTTTCACATTAAACTTTACTTTCATTTGTTTCCTCTCTAAATAAAAGGTCTCTATTTACCTGATATGGAAACCTGCATAAGAGCTCTTCTGATATGAGATTCCCAGTCAGTAGTGACTCATCATTCCAAACCCCACTGCCCTTTCCTCAAAGTAAAAAGTCTGTGTGAGTTTGTAAACTGAGGGACCCACAGAGGATAAACGACAATACAAGAGTTACACTTTTTCATGTTTTCTAACACATGAGCACGTGAAAAAATGAACACAGAGCAACAGTGTGAGAAAAATGAAACAGTATTAGATATACCTGACCCCATCCCCAATTAATACATTTGATTGCCTTTGGCACTCCACATGGCATTTCTTGGTTGCTAACAGCATCGCTCACTGGCCCAATCCTGCATTGCTTCCTTTTGTCCTAAACTCCATTCCATTCAAAATCCGGCTCCTGCTTTCCTAACATCCTGCATTTATCAAAACAACCCTGTCAAGTTGAGTGCCATTAACCGATAATGAGAGGAGACAACAGATGCAGTCAGGAGCAAAGCACCCCATATTCCACAGGCCTCAGCACGCAGCCAAGTGAGCTGACATCTGACTTTATCCTAACAGTTATAATTAAATCGAAAGCCTAGTTAAACTAACATTAAAGCTATGCCGAGGAACAGCACACAAGGGAAATGTGAAGTCTAACCTTGGCACCAGCTGAACAAGGCCCAGGTTATTCCAGACCCCTAACTTCAAATTACCGCCCTTCATCTACTCCCTCCACCATTGTCCCTCACAGCAAGAGTCCTGGCCTTGTCTTCTCACCATGTGGCTTTGAGCCACTACCAAGACCACCAAAGGAAAGAAAACTGCGTTTCTCTGTGACAATAACATTCACCCAGTAAAGGCTGCCAAAACTGTAACTGGCAAGTTGAAACAATCAGCATTCTTTCCAATGGGATTACCTAATACATCCAACCCAGCAATGTAGCCCACCCAAGTGTCTATTGTCAAAAGATTACCCAAGTCAAGCAAACAGTGCAGGAACAGAGAGGGTCCCTAGTAGTAGCAGATAGCTGTGCTAGCATGTGTACCACAGGGAGAATTTCCTGTGTACAGTATAGACTTACAATGCCCTGCACACTACCTCACTCCTTTCCAACTCACCAAATGTCACCAAAAAAACCTCTATAGCATCCTCAAAAGAAAAATTTTTAAATTTTCTTTTTGAGGTCCTTTGAGAATTTTTAACTTAAAGTATGGTATGTTCCAACAGAAAATCCAAACAATTCCAGTGAACGGGCTGATACCTCTCCCCAGCTTTCTCCTAGAACATCTGTATACACACATGTACATACACCTAAGAATACACATACTCATTCGTCTGAAGGTTCATCCTGTCAGTTTTTATTTCACAAAAATGAAATTCTAGGGGCCGGGGATTTAGCTCAATGGTTGCACAGCATGCCTCGCAAGGGCAAGGGCCCAAGTTCAATCCCCCATACAAAAAAAAAAGAAAGAAATCCTATTACTCATGCTATACAACAACTTGTTTCTTTCACTTTACCCCACAGTACAAACAACCCATTCCTACACAGAGCTATACAGAATTCTACAGTGTGGGAGTACCATAATTATCAAGAAATCAGAGTTCTGCCACATTTTTAATCGTACACTGTTACAACTCCTTGTGTGCATGTATGTATCTCTGTAGTGTAGGATCCACCAATTCAATGGATACTCACTGTCTTAGACTTCATAAAAATGCTTTCCAAAAAGCTGGGCCAGGGCCAGGGATTTGGCTCAGTGGTTCTGCCGCCTGCCTCACAAACAAGCACAAGGGCCCAAATTCAATCCCCAGTACCAAAAAATAAAGCTGGGCCAATTTCTCCTCTTAGCAGCAGCAGAACCTGTTCCCATACTTCTGTGCGTTGACTGTGCACCCTTCTGGACCTCCTACCTTTCTGGTCACTCTCTTTCTTTTGATGATTCTACCTGAATACAAACAGATCTAGACATGGCAAGGCTGCTCTCAGCATACTTTGGCATCTCTCTTGAGTGGGGACATTCACTCTCAATTGCTTCATGTTCGTGATTCCAAATTTTTATCTTTCCAGCAGAGCTTGCTTCTTAGCAACAGACTCACATTTGCAAATGCTCTGTGAGTTCCACCACAATCCTATTCCACAGACACTTTCAAATCATCCTAAACCAAATCAAATTGTTCT